AATAAATGACCAGTGGAATCCTCCTCAAATAAAATTCTATAACGAACAAGCAAGACAAGCTTTTATCAAATTTAAACCGCTACTATGTAACCGCAATCTTTACTTTAATCTTCGCTACAGGATGGTTAAATGATATGTATGGTCCATATTGTTATACGGCATGGAAACATGCACGTTAAGATTACCTTGCAATGTTCCGCATACCATGGACAGATAGGGTGAGAAACGATGAAGTCTTAAGAAAGGCAAATACTGAGAGAGAACTACTCAATTTGATCAAGGTACAAAAAATTGGATACTTTGGTCATATTCTGAGAGGAAAAAAATACGCAATCCCTTAACTAATCATTCAGAGAAAAGATTGAAGGCAAGTGAGGAGTAGGTCGCAAACAAATGTCGTGGCTACGAAGCATAAAGAACTGGACAGGCATAAATTTAACTGGCAATCTTTTGCATGCCGCAGAAGACAGACGTCTGGCCTTAAGATAATTCGCCAAAGCACTATAGGTGCACGGCACTATAAGAAGAAGAACATTACAAAACCAATTGCTTGTTGAAGTCCAAGATAATAATGAAGCCATACCAGCCGAAATTTACAATACAAACCCATCTCAAACTTTGCCACCTATAAATAAAAATCAGGTTGAAACGGAATTCCGTTTTACTAGTTTCCCTTTCTACTTTACTAGTTTTCCTTTTACTAGTTTCACATCATTTAAAGAACTTACGTTTATTACAAATTCCGCTGTAAGAAAGAGCATAACCAGAAAAAAAACAGCATGCCAAAATCCTGACATCTACGCTTTTTAAACAAGAGTTAGAAGAAAAGGAACAGAAAAAACAGGAAAAGGTAAAAAATTTCAAGAAAAAGGAAAAACTAAATTAAATACCCAAAAATCTCAGAAAGGACAAAATACAAATAAGACTGCAAAACAAGTACAAACTAAGAAACCTCCTTACAAGAGAAAGGTCTTTGAATCTTAGTTCTTCGGAATCGGATATCGATATACCATTTGATGACAGTGACGATGCAGACGAAGATAGATGCCTGGTTTGCAGCGAGTTTGGCAAAAACAATGAAATATGGTAGATGCACCCTTTGCTCAAGATGGGCCCATTCCGGGTGCAGTGGATGGGATTCTGCAGAGGGTTTATACCTGCGATGACTATCAACCATTTTTACAATAAAAACACATATTTTTGTTATTTTTTTTTGTAATAAAAAATATGTTTTCACCTTTTTTACCGATTTACTTGAATTATTACCCATTAAGGCACATTCGTTAATCGTTTTTTATAACAAAAAATTCTTAAATTTAATAGATATTGATTTTTATTTTAATAATAACACAAAGATGTTCACAACGTGTTTGTAGACTTCAAACAGGCATACGATTCAGTCAAAAGGGACAGACTATACTATATATTGGCAGAATTAGCAATACCACATAAGCTAATTAGACTCATTAAAGCCACAATGGATGAAACCCAGGCATGTGTACGAATACAAAACAACCGGACAGACTTTTTCAAAATCTCGCAGGGACTAAAGCAGGGAGATGGGCTGGCACCAACATTGTTTAACCTGGCACTGGAGTATGCGGTCAGGCAAATGCAAACTGGACGAGAAAACCTACTGACCAATAAAACGGTTCAACTGGCTGCCTACGCCGATGATATTAATATTATGAGTAGAACATCAACAGGAGCACAGGAAGCATACGCAGAGTTATAAACACAAACGAAAAGGCTAGGTCTGGAAATTAACACAGAAAAAACAAAAATAATGGTACAGACGAGAAGAAATATAATCCCACAAAACATTATACATGAAGATGACATTGAAACGGTTGGAAAGTTTACATACCTGGGAGTAGAAATATATGCCGATGGAGCAGAGGATGGAGAAATACGAAAAAGGATAACGCAGGCAAACAAAGCTTATTTTGCCCTCTCCCATATATTTCGGTCTAAAAGTGTCCACCGAAATACAAAGATGAGAATATATAAAACTTTAATTCGGCCAATAGCATGTTATGGCAGCGAAGCATGGGTCCTGAAAGAAACATCCAAAAACAAACTTGACACATTCGAAATAAAAGTACTGAGGAGAATACTAGGACCTGTGAGGGAAAACGGAATCTTCAGAATTCGATATAACAACGAGCTCTATCAACTGTATAAGGAAACACCCCTGTCAAACTTCATTAGAATACAAAGATTGCAATGGGCCGGACATGTGATACGAATGGGAGAGGATAGGCTACCAAAACGAGCACTGAACGCCAGAATGCAGGGAAAGAGACCAGTTGGAAAGCCAAGAAAGCGCTGGGAAGACACAGTAAGCAGCGACGCACAAGCACTTTTAGGAGTCCGTGTATGGAGAAGAGCAGCCACAGACAGACAAGGGTGGAGGCAAAAAATAAAGGAGGCCAAGGCTCATTTTGGGCTGTAGTGCCGTAGAAGAAGAAGAATAACACAAACAAATTGACTGGCATTACCCACACTCATGACCGGTATTGTCCATAGATGGTGACAATACCGGTCAAAGATACTTTTTTATTTTTTGTCTCTGTCAAAGACAAAAATTTTTTATTTTTTTATTTGAATGTGTCTTGCAATAAGTTAAAATACCAAATGTGTTTTTTATATTAAATTTTCTTCTTAGGTGACCGCGATTTGCACACTTTACTCTACATTTTTTTATAGTTTAATATTTGAAAACTTGCAGACTCAATTATCCGTAATTAGCTTTGAGATAATTTTTTAATTTTCATTTGAATTAAAAAAAAATATTGACATGATGATTGTCAGTAGGATTGACGTTTTTATAGTTTCATATTTAAAAACTGGCAGATTTCTATGCACATAATTATTCTTAATTAGCTTGAAATATTAAGGCGGATTAAAGGACGGATTCTTTTTTATTATTTTTGTTTACTACAAATTTAAATTCATTAGTTTTGGTAAATATATGCATGCAAAAAAGCAATGGTAAATTTTGCTCACATTCTAAAATTTCTGCTTTTGTAAAATGAAATTTTGTCTTGTAATTCAATCATATGTGTTCTCGGTGCTATTTGTAGGTATAGAGAAAACAAATACCACCGTTATTAGGTGAATCTCGAATTAGAACATTATAGAAAGTTTTTACAGTAACTTTGCCCATAGCGTGCAACATAGGATCCCATCAATTGTCATCTACAGTGAGTCATTAAATTTATAAAATAATAAATTTTTTGCATATGAACTAAGTAAATAAAGTATGATATGGTGCACTTTTGACCTTACATGTTTTTTACTATACCCTGTATATATATGTATATATATATATATATATATATATATATATATATATATATATATTTTGACGAGATATTTAGATATTTTGGACATATAACTAGAAGAAGAGAGGGCATGGAGTGAATGATAGTTGAAGGTAATATAGCGGCTAAAAGATTTAAAGGAAGATCTCCAGTACGATGGTCGGACCAAATAAAAGAGATTACTAGTTACTCATTCTCTGAAGGAAAACAACACGCACAGGAGAGAGATAATTCAAACAAAACAAACATCTAGATTATAAATATATTCGATTGACTCTTTTGTAGCAGCCAGGAAATCTGAAGGGTTGCCGTTATAGGATCTAATCGGGCATTCCTCTACCATGTGTTTTACTGTTTGCCTTTCGGCGCCGCAGTCGCAATTTGGTGATTGTATTTTGCCCCATCTAAAAAGTGAGTCGGAACATCTGCCACAGTTCGTCTGTGGTGTAAAGCTAGTTCGCGTCCGTAGTAGAAGACTACACGTGCACCCTGGGTAACGCTAAATGAACTAGCACAAAAGGCGCCAGACAATCTTGAATCTCCTGGCAATTCAAATATCAAATATAGATATATATATATATATATATATATATATATATATATATATATATATATATATATATATATATATATATGTAAATACTTTTTTTCTTTTTGGGTGTGGTAGTCAATAAAAAATAGAGCTTTGCTAAGGCGTACTATTTATTCTGAATCCGAGCTTTCGGTGGTTGTTTGCCACCTTTATCAAGGTCTTCAATGAAAATTACTGTGTTATAAACTTTGGCTGATGCAATATAAAAGTTATAAAAAACTAACCAGAAAGTAAAATTCATAGCATATAAAACACAACGTTAAATAACATAATGTGACCTGAATTGCTGAAGGCATTAAAACTGTTAAAAATTTTAAAATAACTTAAAAATTAATGAAAACGTTACAAAGTTTAAAATGTAAAAAGTAAACGACAAGTTTGACAAAAAAACAGTCGTCTTCGCAGGTTTGAATTCAGTCACATCTCACGAACAGAAAGAGGCAGTAGGAGGAACTATTGTTGTTTAAATAGTTCGATGTAACTACAAAAAACAAACTTTCAAACTGATGTCTAACAATATACCGTTTGTGATTTTAAGACATCAGTTTGAAAGTTTGTTTTTTTGTAGTTACATCGAACTATTTAAACAACAATAGTTCCTCCTACTGCCTCTTTCTGTAGGCAGTAGGAGGCTGTATTTATAGTATATATATATATATATATATATATATATATATATATATATATATATATATATATATATATACTATAAATAATAAACAATATTTACTATTAATAATAATTACAAATAATAAATAAATTTAAAAATTTAATAAATTCTTCCATTTCTAGTTGAGATACGCCACTGCTCTTTACTTCAAAAGGTGATCAAAGATTTAAGATTCAAGTTCTACCCAGGTCGCAATCAATTTATTACTTTATTAGCCAAAGCCCAAAACAAATTGTTTGGTGGCAGTAGATAACATAAAGTCAGTTAAGGTTCCTATATTTATCTTTTTTTTAATAAATCTAATTTAAATGTTCTTAAATTATCAGTAACAATATTACTATGAAAACCGTATTGAAAACATAACCTAAAATGATTTGCAATATGACAAAAACATATATTCAAATCTACTTACACTTAACGACATTGTTTATTTCGTTTCCTTGCACTAACTAAACCCGTTATATTATAGTAACAGTTATAATAGTATTTTATACGAAAATAAAAAACCTTTGAATGCAAGCAACAAACAAAAACAAAAAATTCGTATGCTTATCTCTACTAACCTCGTAGAAAGCAGTAGCGTAACCAAGAAATTGAATAGAACTAGATTTAGTGTTTAATGAAAGCAACCAACAAGTTATTAGTTTGGGAATGTCACTTTTAAAATTAAAAAGAGCTTTAGGGAATTTTGTCGATCAGTTCAGTCCTTTTGTGATGTAAAATTATGTGTAACAGGAATGTTGGCTATTTTTGAGAAACTGTTTAAAAACAGCGCTTAAGTAGCTAATATTGTCACGTAAATACTGTGAAGTCTCAGATTATTGTTACATTGTAGATGGTATGTGAGGACACTGCTTTCGTCGCAGTTCCCGATAATCGTAGATTCTGGTTGTGGTTCAAAACCAAATCAACACAAGTAACCAAATTGTAAATTCATTTTAATAATTGTAATATTCAAAATATAAATGCATTAACAAAATAAATTATTTAATGAAATAAATACTTAACCCATCAAAGCCCAAATTATTTTTTTTTTGTAAAACTAAACTTTTTGCTAAGTTTAGTTTAGGAAAAATACAAATAAGCAGAAGAACGTATTAAATTTTATTTGTTTATCGAAGATATGACATTATAAACTGTGACCATATGGTACCACTAGGTCAAAATAATATAAAAATATAATCAGATTTACTCTTTATGAAATGTGGCAAAGCATTCAATGCAGAGTCCAATATCGCATTTCTCACACTACGTACGTCCTACTGAGCAGCACGCTTCTCCAGAGAACCGCCTTCGTTTTTTATTAGAAACGGGTAAAATGAGATGGTTAACACCACCGTACCTAATGTTTTCAGAGATTCTGTTAGGAGATAAATCATTTCTACTTGTTGTTGGTCTACCAGGTCTACTGGGAAGGTTTTTAATTTCATAAAGTAAGTAGTCGCGATTTCACGTCGAAAAATCAAATTAGTTGTCGGTCTTCCTGAACACTTATAAAGTATCCACGCATTTTGCACTACAGCATCAATTAACCATGTAAGTATAGACCAATACCATTTCTTACTACGAACACTTATACGGTATGTTTTTAAATCCTTATCCATTCTATCAGTGCCCCCCATAAACTTGTTATACATTTCAACAACATGTGGGCGTGGAACTTGGAACGACTCTTTTTTCAGAATGTGAATAAGGTTTCCCTTGTTGAGTAGGATGCACACCATATGAAGTTGATGCCACTGTTACGACGGCGTTATCCATCCATCTTGTCAACATAATACCATCTTCTTTGTCAAAATCAAAATCAGTACAAAATCTTGTACTTCAGGAATAGTCGTGATATCTTTAGTGAGCACTGGAGAACTCGAACAACTTGGTCCAGCAATAACGTTTGGATCATCTTTTATTGTTGAAGTAGAACAACAACAAGGGAAATTGTTTGAAACAACAGAATTATAAATTTAACATCCTACGAGTTTCAAAATTATACTAATAAAACATTATCTAACCTTTTACTTAGGTTCTAGCTAAAGTAATTACCTACTAAATTGGTAGCTATCCACTGATAATGTATTTTTTTTAACCTATTTTCTATCCTTACATTGTTGGATATAGGTCTCCCCCAGTTCTCTCCATCTTTCTCTATTTTGAGCTGTTCTGTGCCATGTGGGACCTCCTTGTTTCCTGATGTCATCTTTCCACCTCATCTGTGGTCTGATAATATTACTTAGTTGCATCTGTGATAATATTACTTAGTTGCAAATAAATCATTAGGTATTTCACTTAATAGATCTTTTAAAATAAAAATACATAATTTTCACCAAACATAACCTCAATTTCAAGAAAATTACTTGTAACTATTACTAATAATTAACAAACTTGAGCAAGTTGATAAAATCGATTATCGTGGACAGCAATTAAATTGTAACGCAGAAAGTCACGGCAAATTAGATCTGGGATAGAGCAGGCTAGAGCTGCTTTTAGAAGGATGTCCAAGGTGTTATGTAACAGAGACCTAAAATTGGCTTTGAGGATCCGCCTACTTCGCTGCTACGTATTATCGGTCTTACTTTATGATGTCGAATCCTGGACTGTGAATAAAATCGATCTAAATCGCCTTGAAGCTTTAGAAATATGGTGCTATAGAAGAATTTTAAAAGTTTCCAGGGTGGAGAAGATTCGAAACTCCACAATACTAGAACGTCTCAGCAAGACTACTGAGATCATAAAAAGTATCAAGCAGAAAAAGCTGGAATATTTCGGACATGTAATGAGAGGTCCCAAATATAGGTTGCGACAAAATATCATGTAAGGAAAAATAGCAGGCAAATGCAGTCCAGGACGAAGAAGAACCTCATGGTTGAAGAATTTGCGAGATTGGTATGGTGTTGATACAAGCATGCTATTTAGGCTGGCAGTGAATAAAATTAAGATAGCTTTAAGATTTAAGATTAAGGACCTGGTACATGAAAAAGAAGAGAATATTTAACATAAAATAGTCGGTCAAAACAAGTTAGATGTACTTATATGATTTTTACTCTATAAGTTATTCCCTGAAAAACATTATAATAAACAGCAGAAATAGTTTAAAATAACTTAATGGATTTTAGTTATATTGCATTGCATCATTTTGCTAAATATATTTCTGGAATATCGGCTATGTGCTCTTACCTGATTTTTGTAGTAGCTTTTGCATTCTATACTCTATATCTATCTATAAGAATTTTTTTGTTTATAAAAAATAATTAAAGTAAGATCCATTTAAAGCAACTTAAATTATTTTGCTTGTAAAAGATTGTGTTAAAGGTAGTTAGTATATTTTGGTCACATTTAGCATTAACGGTTAGATAAGTGCTTTCAATCGCGATATCAATATATCGCTCCGGATAAGAATGCTTCGATGTTATATTTTCTCTACCCTTTTGTATGGAGTTGAAGCTTGGACACTTAAAAAATCCAACATTAAAAACCTAGAAGCATTCGAAATGTGGTGTTACCGACGGATTTTGAAAATATCATGGATGGATCGCAAAACAAACGAACAAGTTCTCGAACAACTAGGAAAACAATGCGAAGTTTTAAATTCCATAAAGATCAGGAAATTGGAATACTTGGGGCACATCATGAGAGGTGAAAAGTACGAACTACTAAGGAATATAATGCAGGGTAAAATCAAAGGTAGAAGAAGCGTAGGAAGACGTAAAATCTCGTGGCTACGCAATCTCCATGAGTGGTTTGGATGCAGTTCAATTGAACTATTCAGGCGAGTAACCAATAAAATTATAATTGCCAGAATGATTTCCAATCTCCGATAGGAGTGGAACTTGAAGAAGAAGAAGAAGTACTTTCACTAAACGGGTTTTACCCGTTCAGGGATCATTTCCCTCTTTCTAATACTCTCTAAAAACAAACCCGAAAAATGGCAAAACATGGACTGATTTTTCCAGTAAGCCCATGATATATAATTAAATATTTTTGAATAGTAAATATACAGTTTATTATTTGACACCTGACACGATATAATAAAGCGAATATTTGACAACTGACAAGATATAATTAAGCAAATATTTGACAACTGACACGATATAATAAAGCGTTCACGAGGACGGATTCTTTTTGGTCATAATTGTTTACTGTGAATTTGAATTCGTTAGTTTTAGTAAATATATAGGTACATGTTACAAGCAATGTGATGTATTGGGAAACATTTCAGCTTCCTTAACGATAAGAAATGAAATTTTCTATTTTAAAGCCACCAAGTGTGCTTTCAGCGCTTTTATTTAAAAGAGAAAGTAAATACTCCCAATTTTTATATACACTTCATCTAATTTACTTACAGTTGCACGTCATCCGCGTCCTAGTCCGTGAGGTCACATGATACCAACACGAAATATTTAGGCGGTAGGTGTGTTCTTTTTTAGAATCACTTTGCCGAGTACATTGGCATTACAGCCACTACACATATTTTATTATATACACGTAGAAATAATATTTAAAGATTTCTATTAATGTTAACTTAAAGAAATACACAATAATATGTTTCATTTAGATTGTATAAATGCATTATAAAGTATTTTTATGAAGAACATTTGTTCGGAACACACTCTAACTGTAATCCAACAAAGGTGAAAGTTTGGCATAAATTGGTAACACTTATTTGACAGTTGCGGTGTTGACACTTTTTGTACTTGACCTATATATATATATATATATATATATATATATATATATATATATATATATATATATATATATATATATAGATAAGATGAACGAAGAGAAAAATGATGGTAATTTCTATGGTAAATTGTTGATGCATAGTGGAATATAATTATTCCCAGAACCGCTCTGAATGGCTTGATTAAGCTTGGGTATACAGTTTACTTTAATTGGTATAGACGTAATTAACTTAATCTTTCCTCACTAGAGGTCTTTAGTAGCATACTCTGGTAGTTATTTTCCTCTAATTTACAGAGTAGTCGGTGCGTTTTGATTTGGTTTGAGTCTTCTTACAAACTCCTCCTTCCTATGACGGGGATACCAAGAAACACATGTCAAGGAGTGGTAAGAGACTCAAATTAAATCGAAACGCAACCTTCTTCGTATATCTATCGTCCTTACTCGACGCAATGAGTACAAGAATGATTGTAATTTATATGGGTAAATTATTGGTGAATAGTGGAATATAATTATTCCCAGCACAGCTCTGAATGGCTTGATTAAGCTTGGGTATACAGTTTACTTTAATTGCTATCGACGAACAAAAATTCCTTAAATTGTTGCAAGGTACGTATTAAAATTCTTTCTCGTGATGATATATTCTGATATATATATCTATGATATATTTTTGAAATTAGTATTTTAAAAGATTTTAAACGAGGTGTCACATGATGTACTTTCTTATTAAAAAAATCAAAGTTATGACTGTCACCTGAAGAGAAATCGCCTAAAAATCGAAACATTGATGCTATAATATACTATCATTATTTTAAAAGTCGATCCGTCCCAGTGCTGAATATAAATAAGTTAATAAGGGGGAGGTTACACTTATTTCAGGGCATGGTATTTTAGATTATACTACTTTTATTAGATTGCTCTACTTAGATAGTGCTCTAGTCAGAGCCATCGATCTAATCTGTACTTAAATCGAATACAACTGAGATCATATTTATTATTTCCAAATATTAAAGCAGATACAATTCAAATTTTCTTTTAAGTCCTTTCGTCAACTTTTTTTAACAAAGCTTTTTGTAAATCATCAACCAATGGGGTAAAATATCTGTCGATCATTTCTTCGGTCACTTCAGATAATTTAGGTGGATTCCAACTTGGTTTGTCATGTTTGTCTTCTAGGGAAACTCTAATACCTAAAAGAATACTACTTAATAAGGAGAGAATTTTAATATATTTATTAAGATATTATCTAGATATACATATACATTTATATATAAAAAGTCTTAATCCCGATTTGACAGGTTTTAAAAGGAATTTTGGAAGACGTAGGAAGTGTATCTAATAGAAATGACCCAAAAAAACGAAAAGAAGCACCGCAGTGTGAACAATTAATTACCGAAAAATCAAAGGCTAAGAAGACGACGATAGAAACAAAAGGGATGGATAGTAAACACAAAAGATAGTGATAGAGACGAACAAACAAAAAAAAGTATTTAGTAGTAAGCAACTCTGGATAGATGGATGGTTTTATCTCAAAGAATGATACTGGATTTAAGCCAAGCCCGGATAAAGGAGGAGGATTAAGGCGATGGGCTAGCAACTCATCCATTTTCAACAGAAATAAATGCTAAAAATTTTCAACCAAAAGGCTCGCAATACAAAGGATGGATCGAAATAAAAAGAGACTTGTGCAACGAAAAGGAAAATGATATTGGCTACATGGAATATACAAGGATTTAGAATGAAACAAGCAGAAGTATTCAAAGACTTTGCGGAAAGAAAAATAGATATATGTATTCTCACTGAGACCAAGAAAAAGAGAAAAGGAAATTCAGAGATAGGAGAATTAATACATATCTACAGTGGAGTGAGCAGAGATAAGAGAGCTAAGAGAGGAGTCTCTATTGCCAATCGAAAAATCTTAAAAACAATATTAAATCGAGGACTGAAGTAAATGAACAACTAATACTGGAAATGAAAAATAATGGACACAACATTGTAATTGTCGGAGTGTATGCCCCAAATGAAGATGCAAATCCAGAAATTAAAGACGATTTCTACAACAAGATGAATGAAATACTCTCTGAAGTTAAAGAAAACTGTGCAAACTTTAAACTAGGAGATTTAAATGTCAAAGTAGGAAGAGAAGAAAATACCAGACTCGTAGAGAGATATGGGGAACAAATAACTAATAATAACGGAATGCGTCTTAAAGATTGTTGTGAAACAATTTCTCTCAAAATTATGAATGGATTTTTTTAACATAGAGATATCCTCAAATTTACATGGATATAACCTGCTAGGAATCTGCGCTCGATAATCGACTATGTAATCCAACGTCAAAGTTGCCAACTGAAAACATTTGACGTAAGGTTATACCGTGGATCAGAATGTGGATCCGACCATCGTTTACTTATGGCCAACGTGATAGTTAACTATCGCAACAACAATAACACTCAGGTACAGAATATAGAAAAGGGACAAGAAGCATCCCCTAAATATAACCTAGAAAGCTTAAAAGAAGATTCAACGAAATTTCTTTACAAATTAAGACTGGCCACAAAATTACAAAATGTGGATCGAGAAAATATATCAGCGGGAGAATTAAGCCAGCAACTTAAAAAATGCATTCATGAGGCTACAAGTGAAGCTTTGAGGTATGAAGACAAACATGAAACAAACAATCAAGAATAGTGGTCGGAGAATAGGCAAACGTTAGAAAACAAGAAGAAAAAGTTCTTTTTAAAGCAGAAAAATTTAACCTTATAAGATCCTATTGATGCTGTCTCATACACGCTATGTTTGACAAGTCTTTATTTAAGTTGATTCTATATACTTGCATATATCAATTAACAATATGGACTCAATATAAACGTTAAGAAGACAAAGCTTATGATAATTAGCAAGAAAAGGATAACATAAAATCAACTCTACGTCAACCAATCCCTGTAGTAAGAGTGACGCACTTCAACTACCTCGCCACCATAATAAATGAAGAATGGACCAACAACCAGAAGATTAGAGCACGCATCGGAAAAGCTAGATCCACCTTCAATCAGATGGGCGCCTTCTTCAAGAGTCACAACCTTTCTCTAGATACAAAAGTAAGAATGCTGCGACGTTACGTCTTCTCTGTCCCTTTTATGGTGTTGAATCATAAACCTTGAACGAAGATATGTGCAGAAAACCAAGTCACGAATGAGGAGGTCCTCAGAAAAACGAATAAGAACCGAGAGGTACTAATCACCATCAAATCTCGAAAGTTACAATTCTTCAAACATATTATGCGAAATAAATCCAGAAATGCTCAGTTTCAAGCCATTCTACAAGAAAAATATTTGGAAAGCGAGGTCCAGAAAGAAGAAGGATCTCTTGGTTAAAGAACCTCAGAATCTGGTTCAATACAGCATCTGTGCAGCTTTTCCACGCTGCTGCAGATAAGATAAAGTTTGCCATGATGATGGCCAACATTCGTGACGGATATGCACATCAAGAAGAAGAAGATATACTGACGTTGATCCTATTGTATTAATCTATGTGCTTCCTTTTTTCCTTAAGTGATGGTAGTATTAATTATTGCTCTATAATGTATTTTCTTTGGTATTTAATCACAAAATGGTCGTGTCGATATCATACTTATCGTTTCCCAAGTTAATTTTACCAAACCCATTATGACATAACTAATACACTTACCTTCGTAAACATCAGGATTGTTATAAAAGTGTAAAGAAATATTGCACTCCATCACAAGACAGCTTTTCAAATCCAAGCCTTGTCCTCTCAATAACTGTCTAAGAATAACCTTTAGGGCCACTGGTGAATGTCCATTTAAAATGTTCAGAGTTTCTTTGGCCCAAGGAGACCCGTCAGATTTTAGTTTTAAAAGGATATCTTCGATAGTTACTTCAGAAAAACAGTTGGTAATTCTTTCCATAAGAGGATTTAAGGTAAACTCTGGATAGATTTTTTCGCAAATATTTTCGAATATGTCTTCAATATCATCCTTGTTTGTACAGTTTAAAAGTGTATTTTGTAACTTCTCCAAATTGCTATTTTTGCAGTAATGTGTGGCAAAACCTGCTCGTACTATATCAGAACCTTGTAGTGTTTTTCCCGTTAAGCCTAAATAATATCCTAATTTTCCTGCACATCTGTTAAAGAAATAGGTCGCACCTGAATTGGGATGAAATCCTAATTTTACTTCTGGCATTCCAAAAACACTGTTTTCTGTTGCTACTCTATATTTCGCAAAAATAATATATGATACGGAACCACCCAAAGTTAAACCATTCATTAAACCGACTATAGGAATCCGGTATTTGGATACTAAGTAGTTAGTCGCGTTAATACTTGTACCTAGATCTTTTAAGTAGCTTGTACCGTTCTTAGATTCATGCCGCAATATTAACACATCGCCTCCGGTACTAAATGCTGTGTTACCTGCACCCCTGATTAAAACTAGTGTTTTTTCCTTCTCCCATTTTCGTATTACTTTGTCCATTTCATATTGCATGGGAAGTGTAAGGGCGTTGAAAGATTTGGGTCTATTGAGAATAGCTATAGCATTATTTCCTACTTCTTTACTAATTATTGGAGGTTCTTTAGAGAAATTTCTGTAGGAGACTGCTTGGGTCTCCTTTCTTAAAAGCTGGATCAATTTTATAGGACTTCTCTGAAACAAGAAAGGTATTAAATAAAACATTATGGTATATTTAATACAGATAATATATAAAAGCATCCATGATGATATACAAATTGTTCCTATATTTGATTAAAGTACAGCGATTAAATATTTGAAGAGTTGAACGCTGAATATCTTGAATATCTTGAAAATATCCTTATAACAGACGACGTCTCTAGACGTCCAAATAAGATCAAAATTTGGTCCTAACGTCCATGTACTTTGGGTGAAATAAGTATTAACTATTGTAACTACAAATGTACCCAGACCCATCATATTAGAAATGATAAAGGAACCTACGAGAATGGAAATTCTGAAGGCTGCTAAAAACTTAAGAGGAACTAAAATATATATCAATGAGGACTTCCCGAAGAAAATACTACACGAAAGGAAGCATCTTCTCCAGCATATGAAAATGGTACGCCAGGAAGGACACACAGCCGCATTAAAATACAACAAATTATGGATAAATGGTAAACCTGGATAATGGCACTGGCAAAGCCAAAAGACCAGTCGTGTTTTCTAATAGTTTTGTCATCCATTGTTTACATTATATATATATATATATATATATATATATATATAATATATATATATATATATATATATATATATATATATATATTGTTATGCTATTTAAATTGTATTCTATTGCTTATTTAGAAAAGATCCTGTCTATATTTATTAAATGATCTAATCTCCAATTAATCACAATAAATCAGCATTAATTAATTCCAATCTCAGGATATTTAACTTGTACTATTTACCTTTGATCGTGGATTCAAAATATTTTCCAATTGGCTTCCTAATTGGGATAGGTAATATGACCTGAATAAAATACACAGAATTTCAACTGAAGTATATGTGAGATGTCCTTTATTTTATTGAAATATTATATAACAATCAATCCGGTAATATTTGCAATACAATACTTTAAATATATGAGAAGTTGTTTTCTATCATGGACCCAAATGTTATTTTACATTGATTTTTAATATGTGTTATAACTAAGCTCTCTTTATAATTTTTTCTTTTTTAAATGATCGCAAAATTAACTGTCTCTATAATTTATTCAATTTATTTAATTTATAAATGAAAACCACACTCCTGCTCTAATGAAAATTGACTGACCTTTCGTTATCTGCCGTTGCAATTCTATGGCCACGCCATAAAAAAAAAACCTTTCTCTGCTTCTGCTCCTATTTTGGTCCAGAAGACGTACACCTTTCTCCTCTCTGTCCTTGTATCTGCAACCCAACAACTCGTGTAATTCTATGCAGCCTCCTTTTGAACCAATCTCCGCGCCTGTTTATAACTTCAAATGTTTCCGGCTTCGTCTGCTATTAATATTTTTATAACCTTTTGGTTTTTCTATCTCTCTGTACCCCGTTCCTCACACTCATCAGCTTTTACACCACAAATAAACACACCCGGTAAATTACGTCTTCGGGACTTCAAACAAACACAAACCACAAAGCTCCTTCCTTCTTGGGCGACGAAAACTGACTAACTCCTTTCCTTTCTCCTATCTCATAGCTAAAACCACTCCCTCCTTGCATTCAAAAATTGACCAATAAAAATCTTCTACCTCTGTCACGTATATTGTTACCAACCAACTCTCTCTATAAAACGTCATTCGGGTAATTCCAGAAAACAACATTCTTTAATTATTCTAGCTAAATCTATCTGCTTTACAAATATTTCTTACTAATAGCTACAAACGATACCTGTTTCTCAATTCAATGTCTTTTGTTAATAAACTTTTACCGATATAATCTTTCGGGGGGAAAAACCACCGCACATCCCGGTCTATTGTTTAAACACTTTCTATATACACTTTTATTACGGGTAAATCCATTTCACAATAACCGACTTATTTAAATTTCTTATCGATAATATTTGAAAGTCTTGTCTCTGAGGCCTAATGAACAATTCTTTGAACAACTTAAAATACATATTTTGTCTTCTACAGGATGTTTGAAACTTTATATGCCCGTGTCTTTATGAAATATCAATAATCTTAATTTTTATTTAAGTAATAAAATTTGTATATCGGTTTTTATTGCTAGTGGACATTCAAAAATACAACAATATATATATATATATATATATATATATATATATATATATTATATATATATATATATATATATATATATGATAATATTATATACATGTTAAATTTTGATACCATAATTTCAGTGTGTTAGATAATGCTTTGGTTACTTATATGTTTTTTTTTAATTTTTGTTTTTTTTTTTTCGTTTTAAGCTGACAAATTTATTCACATATCGCAATACTGCTTCTTCTTCTTCTTCGCGTGCCATATCAGAACTATCCGACGTTGGCGATCACCATTGCGAAGGCTTCTCGATCTTCTGCAATATGGAATAATAGTCGTGCATTTGGTATCTGAGTCCATTCACGAATGTTTTTTAACCAAGAAACTTGTTTTCTTCCTACACCTCTACGGCCCTTTATTTTACCTTTAAGGATCAGTTTTATATCGACTTCCCCTTACTATATATCCCAGATAAGACATTTTTCGATGTTTAACAGTCTTTAGCAGTTTTTTGTCTTTGTTGACGCTCCTTAGTACTTCTTCATTAGTTTTTCTTGCTATCTTCATCATTCGTCTATGAACCCACATTTCCAATGCTGTAATTTTGTTCATGATCGATACTTTTAGCGTCCACACTTCTGCACTATACAAAAGTACAGACCAAACATAACACTTAACCATTCATTGCCTTAGTTCTAAACTGAGATGGTTATTGCAAAGAAATGACTTCATAAAAGTAGTTTTAGTCATTGCTATTCTATGTTTTATTTCTTTGTCTGGATCTAGTTGTTCCGTTATCACAGTTCCCCAATATGTTATTTTGTGAACTTTCTCAACTTGGACTCCGTTCAATTAAAGCTTTGCATCGGGATGTGGGTCACGACTAAACACTAAAAATTTGGTTTTGTTTAAGTTTATTTTTTTGCCCATTTCCTCTCCTACCTCGTGAATACGATCAAGCAGAATTTGAAGACCTTCAATATTATGTGATAGAATTACTGTATCGTCTGCATATCTAATCACATTAAGTAGTTTCCCGTTGATTTTTATTTCATATGGTTGTCTCTCAGGTACCTTTATAAATGGCTGGTCTGAGTAAACATTGAACAATGTTGGCGACAAAATGCAACCTTGTCTGACTCCTCGTTGTATGGGGATTTCAACGGTGTAGTTATCTCCAATTTTTACGATAGCAGTTTGATTCCAGTACAAATTTTTAATGACACGAATATCCTTGTCATCTATTCCGATATTTTTCAGTATTTGCATTAATTTTACATGCTGTACTTTATCGAATGCCTTTTCGAAGTCCACGAAACATGCAAATACATCTTTTCTTTGGTCACAGCATTTTTGTAATAGGATGTTCAGCGCAAAAAGTGCTTCCCTGGTTCCCATAGCATTTCTAAAACCAACTTGGGTATCTTCAAGATCTTCTTCGCATTTGTGTCTAATTCTGTTGTGAAGCATTCTGAGGAAAATTTTAAAAGTGTGGCTCATTAGGCTAATTAATCGATACTCTGAGCATTTTCTCGCATTTTGTTTTTTAGGTATTGCGATAAAGATGGATTTCAGCTAATCTGCAGGAATTACTCCGGTGTTATATATTGAATTAAAAAGTCTTACTACTACTTTTATGTTATCATTCTCTATTAGTATCAGCAACTCAGTTGGTGTATCATCTGGACCACAAGCTCTTCTAATTTAAGCATTATTTATAGCATGTTCTACTTCGCATTTCATAATTTCTGGGCCGTCAGTACAGTTTTGTTAGAATTCGACAATATTATTCCTGTCATCTTCAAACAACTCTGATATATACAGCTGCCATTCTTTTCTTATTTCTTGCTCATTTATAATAATTTTGTTATTAGTGTCAACAAGTACTAAGGGAACTCGTTTTTTAAATATATTACTCATTTCTTTCAGTTTTTTGTGCACATTAAATAAGTCGTGTTTAGATATTACATCCTCCATTTCGTCGCACCTTTCTCTCATCCATTTTTCTTTGGCTAATTTGATCCCTTTTTTTATTCTTCTCTGCAGGTGTCTTTATTCTGTTACATTAGATTTTATCAGTCGACGTTGTTCCATTAATTTCAAGATGTCGTCTGTCATCCAGTTATTTTTCTTGATTAAGTTTTTTCTATAATCATTGTTTGTGGAGATTTCGTTAACTTGGTTTTTAAATTTACTCCATAGTTCTTCTGTATCTTCTAGTTGTTCTCCGATGTTTTTTATTCTATTGTTAAATTCTTTTTTAATGTTATGTTTTATATTTATATCGTCAAAGTTAAGTACATTGGTTTTTGGTTTTTGTCGCTGAATTCGTTTTAACCTTAGTTTAATATCTGCTACAAGTGGTTGATGATCAGATCCAATATCTGCCACAGGATATGTAGTGACCTTTTTGGCGGCATTTCGGAAACGCTCATTTACAAGTATATAGTCTATTTGATTTTTTGAAGACTCAGGGTTATTGCCATCATCAAATGGGGCTTTCCAAGTGTAAAGTCGTCGCTTGGGTAGTTTATACCAGGTGTTTGCAATGATCATATCGTTTTTTTTTACAGAATTCATACAATCCCTGTCCTCGATCATTAGGTTGTCCTAAACCATAAGGACCTACAGTCTGACCTCGTCGACCTTCCCCAATTTTTGAATTGAAGTCGCCTATAATATATAAAATTTCGTGTTTATTAAGTTTCTGTAAGATGTCTTGGATCTGATCACACAACTTCTCGACTTCATCGTCATGTTTTCTATCTGCAGTCGGGGCATAAATTGGAAGTGTGTTAGTTTTAAACGATTGAGTATGTATTTGGAGTAATATTATTCTATCCTAGACTTTTACGAAATTGGTCACATATTTACTCAGTTCTGATGTTACTAATATACCTACACCATTTTTGTGATGCGGGTCTTCTGTGCTGTTACCTACTGCTTACAAAGTAATATTAGTAGATTTTACATACTTATACAGGATGTTATAGATACGATTATCCTCTAATGTCAATAGATTTGAAACGTTTATTGGATATTTCATTTTGTAAGATATAAAATTTTAATAAAAATTATCAATTTCTACTTTTTTAAACAAGCATTCTAAAAGAATAGGTAATAAATCGGCAATTTTATCACATAATTTATTATTATCTAACAAATATATTTTATATTTATACACTGGAAATAGTGCATGATTGCAGCGAAGAAATCGAAAAAAAAATTGTTAATGGTAGTAAAAGTGCTGGAACTAAATAATATTGATGGAAAGGGTAAACTTTGTTGCCAAACTATCCACATTTACGAGAGGCGTATTTGAACACCTAATTGCTTCAAAATATTTATTAAGCACCACTGAAGCAATAAAACAATTAAGAGGTATTTTCCTTCGATTTGTTTACACAATAGACTTAAGGGCTGGTTCAAACATTGACAATTATCGCAATTCTGATAGTTACATAAAGAGTTATACAAATATTAGCTTTACAGTGAGTGCGGGGAGGCAGTAACAGATAAACATGAAATGATAAAATCGAGAGAGACCAACTATATACGTTTTAACACAAAACACTGAAAAACACCGGCTCACGATAGCGCATCCGCGGCTTACGTATTTTTCGGGATCACATACACCCGACCTTCACTTGCCGAGAGGCAAATTCGCACTGTCTTTCCTAAGTTATATAACGAGGGAGGGCGGGTCCCTGATGTAGGGAATCAGTCGCACACACGTTAACACGATAGCTGACGACCTGAGAGCACAATTTGATAAAATACCTACATGATTACAATATTATATAGGTTGTTTTTACAACAAATATGCTGAGATTAAACAAAATATCCAGAGGAGGACAAAGAAGAATACATACAACTGTTATACAACCAACAGTGCTTTATGCTAGTGAGACCTGGATCTTCAGCAAAACCATAGAACTGAAGCTAGATAGATAGATCTTCTTCTTAAAGTGCCTATCCGTTCCGGATGTCGGCGATCATCACGGCTATCTTTACTTTGTTTACTGCAGCGCGGAACAGTTCAGTGGTAGTCATGTTATACCACTTTCGTAAATTTTGAAGCCAGGAAATGCGTCTTCTTCCCGGTCCTCTCTTACCATTTACCTTCCCTTGGAGAATCAGCTGGAGAAGGCCGTAAGGTTCTTGATTTCTCATTACATGTCCTAGATATTCCAACTTTTTAGTTTTGACGGTCATGAGAATTTCACATTCTTTCCCCATTCTACGCAGGACCTCCACATTAGTAACTCTGTCAACCCAGGATATACGTAAGATGCGCCTATAACACCACATTTCGAAAGCTTCGAGCCGATTCATAGATGCAACAGTCGGTGTCCACGCTTTCATTCCGTAGAGCAGAACTGTGAATATGTAACAGTTCAATAGACGGCATTTTGTTTTTAATGATATGTCTCGACTGTTGAAAATGGTTCTCATTCTAACGAATGCTGCTTTTGCTTTTATTATTCGCTGTTTAATTTCTGTTGAGTGTTCCCATTGGCTATTTAAATTGGTGCCCAGATATGTATATTGCTCGACTCCTTCCATATTCTGTTGGTTGATTTTAAGTTGAGCGTTTAGTATTGGTTTTTTACTAATTGTCATAAATTTGGTTTTTCTTATATTAAGAGCTAGTTCGTATCTGTTGCTGATTTCTGTTATGCGATTTGTTAATATCTGTAAGTCATTCAGATTATCGGCAAAAACTATAGTGTCATCTGCATATCTAATGTTATTCAACCATTCACCGTTTATTAGTATTCCTTTCGCACAACCTTTTAAAGATTCCTTAAATACCCATTCAGAATAAATATTGAACAACAATGGAGACAAAATGCAGCCCTGTCGTACTCCACTTCCTATTGCAATTTTATTAGTTAACTGGTCTTCTATTTTGATTTTGGCCGTTTGATCATATCTATGAAGCATACGTATATGTCACAATTTACATCCCTGCATCTCTGAAATAGCACCTGTGCAGCAAAAAGGGCCTCCCGTGTTCCCAGAGCATCACGAAATCCGAATTGTGTTCTTGTTAGTTGTACCTCACATTTAGATAGATAGATAGATAGATGGTATAAAATATGGGCATATCTGGAGAAGAAGGCCAAATAACGAAATAATACTAATATATAGACAACAAAAAATTTCACACACTGTGAAAGTTCATAGACTAAGATGGCTCTTACACGTAGCTATATTGCCGAAAGGAAGAGTCCCCAAAGCATTAATAAATGCTGAAGCTGACGCAAAAAGGAAAAGAAAAGAGAAAGACCATGAAGAAAATGGATGGATTCACTAAAAGAAGATTCGGGATTGTTTTAGGAGTACAAACCTTAAGAAACATAGTAGAATATAGAAAGATATGGAAAAAAACCATTCAAGCCTTGGGTCTCTAGGGTCTGTTTGGGCTGATTATATATAAATACCTAGATGTTAAGATGTCCTGCGGAAGGTATTATTTTGCTTATTTTCCTTGAGTATTTAGAGAACAGAAGTGAATATATAATAAGAATAGTACAAATTAACTTTAAAACTAGTACAAAAATTAACAACATTAAAGAAAGTGTAAAATAAATAAAACTATAGTACCAGAATGATGACAATCATCATTTTTTTGTTAACGAAATTAATTCAATGTCAAACAGTATTTACGTTCTTTAAAAACTTAGCTATATGTCTTATAAGAAAATGTTAATTTACTTACTTTCAACATTGCAAGCTGCTGCTTAGACGCTATCAACAAACAAAATACTTTATAAATTGTTAAAATATGTAGTTTACTACAGATTATTTTAAAAACGGTAATTTAAGGCATTTTAATAACGGAATATGTAAATAAGTAGTTTACGTAGTTAAATATAGTTAACACTGACGATAATAAATAAGTTATTTATACAGAGTGGCTTAACGGAAACTAAATATAACTGTTATAAGATAATAGCACCAAATTTTTTAAATGTCATTAGTGAGTAATATTCTCTAAAGTAACTTCAATTATCTGTGCAGTAATCTTAAAAAAATTAATTTTAATATTTTGCTTAATGGTTTTTAAACAAATACCTAAATTTTAAAATATAAATTATTTTAATTATCATTGGAACAACATTAATTTAATGTTGCCGTTTAAGTATGAACACACATTTTTTTCTCGAGGTACAAAAGTTTGCTTTCCGCTTGACCGTCGACCTAACCCTGACAAAATAAATACGTCAAATCAACTACATATTCAATTATAATTAAATAGTCCAGGCTGTAGAGACAAAAACTGAATGATTTTCAGCATTAGTTGGTGAATTTTTGTAAAAATAGGATAGAGTTATGAAGGAAAATGCCTGGACTGGAGTAACCTCCACGTGCGTGCCACTTCAAACTGTTGGTTATAATTTTTTTATTACACTTTAAGGTGCAAAATCAGTGTTTTTTAATTATTTTTATTTTTATTGTCTCAAATCATCACTTTAAGGTAAAATGAGCACAATATTGTAAACGAATATAAAAAAGCTTTAATTTGAGCTGTACTACATTAAATTTGACCTAATAGTTTATGCAAAATTAATGATTGAAGGTTAAAAAGTGTCAATTTTTAGTTTTTAAGATAACTTTTGTAAAAATATTGTTTATAAAAATTTTTAAAAATATATAAATTTTATCTACTGTGCCTGATTTTTTTTAAGATTCTAATAAGAGATCTAATTCTAAACGGATTCTCTTCTTGGTCGTTTATATTTTTATGTAGAAGGGTCTTCTGGCCTCGGCCGTATTCTTATCTCCGCGAGCCGAACGGAGTGCTTTGAAGTACTCATTGTCGTTTTTCATCTTTCTCTTGGTTTATTCCTTGGATTTGTGTTTGTTGTCCTGTTATAGGCCTTCTGCCTCTTCAGGACGTGGTTTTTTTTGGTTAGTGTGTAACGAGAACGTTACTATAACATTCCGTAAACATTTTTTAAATAAATTTTAAAATCTCAATCCTCTTAATGATTTTCTGAATCTTAAAAATGTAAGTTGGTATGAAACAGCGACACCAAGCGTCCAAGTTTGAAATCATAGTTTAGCTGGCTCAAATTGAGTACCCGAAGCGCACTTCTGTTTGAACTTTGGTGGCAGAAACTTGAGTCCAAGGTAGGGGCCACACGTGGAATGGCTTTTGGAATTTAAGAGTTTTTTTTTATGAAGAAGTAATAGGAAGTTTTAGTTTGGGTTTTTTTTGTTTGGAGTGTCCTGTTTGGTTTATAGCCACTGTGAGCAGTAAGTATCCAAGTTATAAATAAACCGAAAATAATAAAACTCATCAGCCATTTTGAGATCCTGTATTGTCACGTTTCAATTCGATATACTTATCTGAACTTTTTTCCATCCGTCATTAAGAAATATTCAACATCTAAATAGAAAGTGTTAATTGATTTAAAATCATATGTATTTTAATTTTACTTCCCGGCCGTAAAACATAATTATCTTTCGGTAAAATTGCTATTAAGAGTATCGTTAAAATATTCTGTCTTATATTGCTCTTTATATTATAAAATATATTCGTATCATATGCTTTTCATTAAAATTGTCGATATAATTAATCCATTTAAATTGTCAAACCAGGCGACGGTCAAATTATCTATCAAACCATTAAGTTTTTTTTGCTCTCCCAATTCATAAGTAACATTTATAAAACCTTTCAAGGTTCATAAACCTTGTTTTTTTTCCTACTCTAAGTATAAGAAAGAACTCTAAAAGAAATGTTTTTTTAGCCTACCTTTGGGAGTCAAACAGAAGTCGGGGAAGAATTTGCTTTTGGTTTTTTTTTTGAATAATTTAAATAAGAAGTACCTATTAAGTTGAAACCTAGTCCGGTTATACTTGGTTCCAGGCCTGTTTTTTTTCCTTGCCGTAGCTGCTCCCCAGAGGTCCAGATCTGACCTTCCGATTACGAAAATTTTAGGAAGCCAGCGGGAATTATCTCCCTTAAAATATAGTAAATCTGGATTAAGTTTATTTCTTAGATTTATTTTTTTTTACCTATAATATTTTTTGTATAATTTTTTTTGTATATTTAACTTCTAGTATTTCATATAATAATAAGAGTCGTCATTTTTTTTAATAATTTACTGGATAATATTTAAATACAAATTGTCAACTACAGGTAGAGGTTTTTAAGTCCTCCTTTCTAACTCACTTGTATGGTTTCTTGTGTACACATTTAATCAGAGAGTTATTTTTTTTTAGATTTTATATCAATATTATCAATATATATTTAAACGTTTGGACACTTATCTCGTCAAGATCGTGTCCTTATTACTTGTTACTGTTATATTCAATAAAGCCAGAATACAGAGTTGCATCTCTGAGGCAAATAAATTACCTTTTTAGGTCAATTATTACCATTTTTTTTTCGATATTTTATTATTTGTAAATTTAGATCATCCAGGATCAGTTGTATAATCAGGGCATTTATTTTTTTTTGTATATAACTAGATTAGCTGTACATAATTGATGGTGGGTATATTAAATTTAGATTGTATATATTTGGTTAGGGATTAAAGTTTTGGTGAAAACTAAATATTTCAATTCATACCTATATCCTTTCTTTATTTCAGCAAACAGCTTTGCAAGATACCTTGGAACGTTTATGTAAATACTTTCCTGGCGCCCACTCACATTTTGGAGCAACTTCTACAATCACTTTGATTTATCTTAGTTATATACCTATAGTTTTATTACCTTGTCATTCATTTTCTAATTCTACGGTCTCTGTAGGGCATGCAAATTGGCCGAATTCTCCTTTGAGTGCCAAGTATTCACTCTCCGGCACCTTCTGCTAGCCAGCTTAAATTATACGTTATCCTTGCCATTATCCTACCCGTTTTTATTAAGCATATTTTTATTCGCTAATAAGCATATTTTATTACATTGGCGTCCAACAGCATAAAAATCTTATTTGTTACAAGTGTGTTGGCTGTTTCTCTTTTTGTTGTGGTCCCCTGGTGGTCGTCGCGTCATCGGTGCTGCTCCTGGACAATCAGGGGAGAAAGGTGTGTGTGAAACAATATATTGGATATTTTGTATGATATTGCATTTAGTAACTTGAACGCGACGCTAGAGTATCATGTGCAATGGGACGCGAAACCACAGAAAACCGTTCCCTCTTGTCTAGGCAAGCTCGAAGTGAGCATTTAAGTTTAATGACGGCGGCGGTAGATGAGTGGAGTTGCCTCCAGGATGTCAATGTATTCATCAGGGAGTTTGTTGCTGGAAAGGTCCAGTAAAATAGTAGGAAGGAAGGGGAGTTTGGTTTTAGGATGTCTTCTGAATACATTGCCGAGGGATGAGCAGGCAGTTTTAAGGATGCGTTGGGCTCTGAAGTTTTCGCCCCGGATGGTGCGATTTGTGTAACTCCTGCCCAGAGAGAGGAGTCTCTCATTGATGGGCTGGACATTATACAGTTGATGAATGAGTGCAGGAGGATAATCACAACGCTTTCTGTTTACTTTATGCAAAATCTTTCTTTCCAAAGCAAATAGTCCACGAGTGTTATGGTCGCGCATCGTAATATAGATGTTAGATCTATACTCGATGACTGCCTAATGAATGATTTGTATGTGTGTATGAGTGTGCGTGAGTGTGTTCTACCTAATCTAAAATACAGAGAATTGAGTAGTCCTAGTCTGTTCCTGGCCTTGCTACAGCCTCTGTCAATATCGGCCTTTCAGTTAAGCGTGAAATTAAACACTACACCGAGGTATTTGATCCGGTCGCGAAGCTAAAGCCGGTCGCCCCAAAGTCTAAAATTGTGTCTTGCGGAAATAATGGGTGTGATCAACTGGCTTTGCTTTGGATGTCTAAATAGGATCATTTGAGTTTTGTTAGGGTTAGGTGTTACTCAACACCGTATCAACGTCTCGCGCTGTTGTTACGAGAGCTGCATCATCTGCGTAGAGCAAAGTGGTTGTGATGTAATAGCAAGGATTAAGGAAGTCACTGTTGTAGATGATGTATAAAATGGGAGCCAATACAGAGCTGTAAGGTATTTTGATGTAGGAGTAAAGGAATCGGAGAAATGACCCCGCTCCTTTACCGTAAATTTGAAGTACAGACAACTTTTGCCTTATAAATTCATTGACCTATAGTGCTTGTCGCCAAGGTAACCAAACCTGACAAAGATTGTTACTTTGGCCGGCTAATCACAGCGCTCGTTATTAACTTCGCTGTCATTGGCCTCTCGGCGGAAGATTGCTGCGAATTCGCAAACACGTTGTGTATAAAAGAGCAGCACATTTTTCGATCAGGACTTCAGTCGTCAGATACTTTTAGCCTCACTAGACCTTGTTGGCCTGATGTGCTACCTAGTAACTTTGAGTTTTATTATTAATCCAAATACCTAATACGTTGAAATACGTCGAATAATAAATATAAGAAAACTTCATCCAGTATCAAGAAGATACAAACTTCGAAACAACACGTTAAATATAAGAAGACTTCATCCACTGTCAGAAGATATACTTCGGAGGACGAGAACCGGCGTGTATCTTTTTGGAATAGAAAGACAGTGGTCTAATAACTTTCTAAATTGTGTCGAACAGCGTTCTTTTGGACGACGAGGGTAAAAAGCGAATAAAAGACCCGACGGGGACTAATTGCTTTTCCGATCAGAGTCAAGCCACGACTACGCTTCGTCACCTAAAACCTTATGCAAATAGCAACCATAGGAAATACTGTTTGTAAAAGGTGGTGTAAAAAGCGACGAATAGTTAATAAAGTCGACACGACCGGCTTTCTTGTGCCCCTCTCAAGGAGAGGGAACGCGGCAATTCGAAGTGAGAAGGCCGGCATCTCTGTGGATTTGAGACATACACCAAGCAACAGAATTCTAACACACATATTGTCATTGTAAGAATGAAGTCTGTAAGAAAGCTCGAACTGTTAGAGAATTCTAATTGCCGGTGTCTCCTCACCTACCTCAGAGGCTTGGCGGAGCTTCTCATACGAATAAGCCGTAATCCTAATAACTCCTGTAACAAAGATTCTGCAACTTGAGATCCTCTTAGACAGCGGCGGTCGCTTAGCGTCCAGAAACCCCTGAAAACCAGGATTATGGTACGACATGCTCCCTATACAGTATACATATCGTTAACTTATTAATTTTTATAGTTGAAGTCAAGACAAATATTTAAAAAAAACTTGTCTACGATCAACAGAAGTGGAATAAGCTTAATTTGTTTAAAAAATTGAAGCTGCTTGGTTTATAACAATAATGAATTTAGTTAAAACCACATTTGTATGAGAATATAATTTTTATTTTTAAAAACCGCTATCTATGGTCAAAAAATATAAAAAAGTTGACTGTTTTTTCGAGTAGTTAAATGGGCTCGGTGGTAGGGATGGAGGTTGTTGACAAAACAATTTAATCAATCAGTCAATCGCGTCCACTGCTATATAGGCCTCCCTCCGTTCTTTCCAGTGTTCTCTACACTGGGCCGCTTGTAACCACTTTCCCGCTACACGTTTTATACCATAGGTCCATGTAGTCGGTGGTCGTTCTCGGCTTCTTTTATAGTTCCTGGGCCTTCATTCCATAATACGTCTTGTCCACCGTCCATCTTGTATTCTGGGTAAGTGCCCTGCCCAGTTCCACTTAAGCGTCGTGGTTCTTTCGATGACGTCTTGAACTCCTGATCTTTGCTTGATTGATTGGTTTGTTATGTGGTCTCGAACGCTCACGTTCAGCATTGCTCGTTCCATGGCTCGTTGTGTAACTCTGAGTTTATTTGCAGATTTTTGCGTGAGTGTTAAAGTCTCTGCTCCATAAGTTTGTACAGGCAAAACACATTGGTTATAGACCTTTCGCTTGAGACACATGGGAATTGAATTTTTTAGAATATGGTTTAATTTGCCAAATGCTGCCCATGTCAGGCCTATTCGCCTTTGTGTTTCATGTGTTTGATTGTCTCTGCTTATTTTAATCTCGTATCCCAGATATTTGTGTGTGTCTGTTTGTTGTATGAATTGTACAAGTATGAATTTGGGTAAAGAGGTTTCTAAATATGTACCTTTAAGTGCCCAACCACAAATAAAAATCCAGCCGAGTGCAGATTTTACCATTTTATCCCGCTATAGCCTTTAACAGTAGTTGTATGATTATTTACCTATTCTATGAATTTTATGTCGGAAAGTAGATCAAATATCTTGAAATTACTATTTACCTGTTGTTTTTTAAGTTCTATTTGCTGCTTTTTGATTTTCCTGATATTGGCAACACTGTGTGTAGAAGCGGTTCAAAATGGATCGGTTGTATATTCATGTCTTGGAGTTGTAACACTGTAGAAATATAGCTATGATTTCTAGAATTACTAAAGACCAAAATAGATAGATAGATTTAATCCATTGGGACTTCAAAATAATACAGAAGACTCAATTAAAGATTTTATTATAAATAAATATTTTTTTTCACAGTTTATTTTGTTTCATTTTAATGAACTTACAATCAGATCAATATGATCCGTTAAAATACACATAAGCAAATCGCAGATCTTGGACCTGTAGCTTCATAGTTTTAGTGGTATTATTGAAAGTTACCCATCAACTGATGACCTACGTTTGATTGCTTAAACATACAAAAAGCTCATATTTTAAGATCACTGGAGACACTAACAATAGTTTTAAACTAATTTTTTTTATTTTTTTTTTCTTCAAATTATGCAAAACTTGTAGTTTACTTCTTCTGCACGGTATCAAAAAACTTTAGAGTTGATTAAGCATTACAGAAATTCAGAGAATGTAAAGTTTAGAAAAATGTTGGTTTATTATTACGATTTCTTTAATAAATCGTTGTAAAATTGATGAAATAATATTTACCAAATAAAAAGATACTGAAATTGTTATTAAAACTAATTAATAAAGGGAATCTTAAATGAATTTAACTATTCCACCAAAACGTCATTCAATTTATTTTGCTGCACCATACTATAAAAAATTCCCTCTTTATTTTCGAGCAGCGTCGTCGGTTCTCCAAACTCTTTTATCTCCCCTCTATCCAACACCATCACTTTATCGCAGCTAAGCACAGAATGTAATCTGTGAGCTATGGTTAATACTGTGCAATCAAAAAAGTTTTCCTTAATAATTTTGTGTAAAAGTTTATCAGTGTCGTGGTCCATGTTGGCGGTGGCTTCATCCATAACAACAATCTTGTTTTTTCGAAGCAAAGCTCTAGCTAGACAGAGGAGTTGTTTTTGACCAGAACTAAAACTTAGTAAGTTACTATTCGTTGGTTGTTCCAAGTTTGTGATTAAATCGTTGATTCCGACTGTTTGTAAAGCGTTCCAGAGGTCTTTGTCTTTAAATTCGCACAAAGGATCAAGATTTGATCGAATTGTCCCCGAGAATATCGTGGGATCTTGAGGGATGACAACAATATGTTTCCTTAAGAAATCTAGAGACAAAGTTTTTATATCAACTCCGTCAATAAGGATCTTTCCTTGAACGTCATAAAGCCTAAAGAGAGTAGATATTATTGAAGATTTCCCTGCACCAGTCCTTCCTACTATGCCAATCTTCTCTGTAGGTTTAATTTCAAAATTTAAGTTTTTTAAAACATAATGGGTATTGCCTTCATACGACAGGTACACGTTTTGATACAATATGCTTCCAAGTGAAGGCCAGTTATTGATTTCAGCTCCTTCCTTATTCTCCGTTCTTATATTAGTGTATTCCAGGATTCTTTCCAAGGACGTCATATTATTTTCCAGCTCAGTAAACATCCGTACGCACCAGGTTATACTTATGGAAAGAGCAGAGACTTGAGTGATAGTAAGGCCAATATCACCAGCTGTATTATCTGTAAAAAAATGTCATTTCGTTAGAAACAAGGTAAAAAATAAATTGGTAAATTTAATTTAAATTGAAAAAACAATCTATCTATATCTCTTCTATATTTATTCAGCTCTTCCTGTCCTTTGAAGATGACATGGATATCTTTTATGGAGCTGGTTTTAAATTGGAAATATATTGTAATATAACTGCTTTTGAGTATGTATTAAGGCTGTTTTATCGGTGCACCAAATCCCAGGGACACTGTTTTTTATATTATTTACCGACAATATGTCTTAAAATTTGGACACTTCGAAATTATGTTGCCTTTAAAATGATGGTTTTACTTTTTTATTTTTTTGAAACTTCTGTTAAAAAATTGGATTATACTGTTTAACGTTCTATTATAACCAAACTTTTTACGCCCATCACTTGAAAAAGTTTTTTTTTTCTGTAATCATTGAAAATTATGTTTCTTTCGAGAAAAGCGTGTTCCAACTTTAAAGAAAATAGGTAAAAAAATACTAAAATCTAATAATGAAACGTGTTACTCCTAATTGGCCCTTATTTTTATCGTTATCGCCTTCGTGACGTCAAATCTCATGAACGTACGGTCAGTTAGTTCATGTTAAAACTAATTTAAATTGAGAATAATGCATTTGGTGTCATTAAACTACCCGTCAGCCAGCGCCATTGAGTAAAGATTGTCTGGCGTAAGCAGTGTAGAAAAGTACGTGATACGCCCATTTCAAATCGAAGTGTGCTTTAACTGCTAAAACAACCTCAAGACATATTTATTAAATGAGGTTATATTTGTTTTATTTTATAAATTTGCACAGGAGCATTACAACAGGTAATTCAAGAGTACTAAAATTCTTAGATTATAAGTGGATAACTCCGCCTGTAGTTTTGTTAGGTCGATCGAGTAGCTCGACAGAACCGTTGCCGGTCCCAAGCCCGAATTAAGGAGGAAAGGATCTACAGCGCGGTTAGCACCCTACTGATAGACTTTAAACGAAACAGGATTATGCCTAGGAACAGGAATGATTTCATTATGACGACTAACGTGAGAAAAAGGACAACGAATTTATGACAAACGAGAAATATACTTCCCATTGGTACTTGGAACATAAAGTCTTTAAATACAAGAGAGCAGAAATTACAAAATAGTTTGTAGAAAAAAATATAGACATATGTGCACTACAAGAGACGAAGAAAAAAGGAAAGGGTCGAATTATGCTAGATGACTATCTGATGATTTACAGTGGTGTTGCGAAAGAAACCAGAATCAAAGAAGGAGTCGCTCGCTCTGTTAGTACACAAACATTTTTTACACCAAGTACAAGAATGTAAATATACCTCTGAAAGAATAGTAAGTGTAAAAATTCAACTGGATGTCAAATCTCTTAATGCGATAGCAATCTATGCATCAGAGAAAAACAGAGATACCACCACAAGGAAAAACTTCTACGAACACTTTCAGACTGTAATAAACGAGACTTCAAATGGTGAATATAATATAATCATTATAAGTGATTTAAACGCTCATGTTGGCAATGATATAGTTCCAGGAATAAAATAGCGGTTTAACAAAAATATCAGAAATGAAAACGGAAACCTTCTGATGAACCTTTGATAAACGAGATACGTATTAATAATACATTTTTCCCTCACAAAGCACAAATATCTATGATAAACTGTAGTCTCTCGAATAGAGAGTAACAGCACTTTTTAAAATCTTGGATGTAAGAGCACTAATATCAGCAGAAATAGGAAGCGATCATAAATTGGTATTGTGCAAAATCCAATAGATCTTCCAGAAAGCTGGAAGATCTAAGCGGTGAGACACAATTTGCTTTCAAGAGCGGACTGGGTACACGTGAAGCAGCTTTCTGCTTGAATACGCTAGTACAAAACTAAATGGATCAACGAAAGGATATAGTCATAACATTCCTCGATTATGAAAAAGCGTTTGACACCGTAAAATATGACGCAATGATAAAAATGCTACACAATGCTAACATTAACGAGAAAGATATAAGAGTTATCCAGAATCTCTGTTGGATTCATAAAGTATGAGTGAGACTGAACAAATCAACCAACATAGAAGAACTTGAAATTTTTAGAGGGGTGCGATAGGGGTGTATTTTGTCTCCTATGCTCTTTAATCTCTATGTGGAGAACATTTTTGCAAAGACACTGGAAGGCTCTAAGTGTGGAATAAAGGTAAACGGGTTCCCAATAAATAACATTCGTTACACCGACGACACCGCGATAATAACAGACCACTAAGATGATATGCATGTTAAATAAAATAAACACCTTAGGAAAAATATATAGCTTGAAGATAAATGCTGGAAGAACTACATGGCAAAAAGAGAAAACGCACTTTTAAGAATACAACTGCAAGCAGTTAATGCTCCAATCAAGTGAAAACATAATACTTAAGAAGGATGGTGAATGACCAATGGAACCCTCAACAAGAAATTAAATGCCGTACCAAACAATCAAGACAAGCTTGTATCAAATTTAAATCGCTTTCCTTTAATCTCCTCTACAAGATGGTTAAATGCTATGTATATGGTATCCGGCATTGAAACATAGACGTTAAGAGTACCTTCCATTAATAAGTTGGAGGCCTTTGAAATGTGAACGTTGCGAAGAATGTTCCGCATACCATGGACGGATAGGGTGAAAAACGAGGAAGTCTTAAGAAAGGCAACTACTGAGAGAGAACTACTCAATTTGATCAAGGTACGAAAAATTAGATACATCGGCCCTATTCTGAGAGGAACAAAATACGCAGGATTAGGTCGCAAACAAATGTCGTGGCTACGGAACATAAAGAACTAGACAGGCATAAATAACACTGGCAATCTTTTGCATGCTGCAAAAGACAGACGTCTTTAGACGTCTATCTTGGTAGTGGAAGAATATGTACAGATGCAATATTCGTTATAAATCAAATTACTGAGAAATCACTAGAGTATAATAGACCAGCATTTCTGTGTCCTGATTAACCTAAACAAAGTGTTTGACGGAGTAAGAATCATCTTACTCATCTTACAGAATTGTAATCCATCTTCGGTATAATGGAGAAGCTCCCCTAAGTATTATAAAAACTATCGAAAACATCTACCAAAATAGCAAAATGGAAGTCAGAATAGATAAAAAACTTACAGAACCTATAGAAATAGACAGCGGAATAAGACAAGGGGATTGATTGAACTCCATGCTCTCCAATTTGATCATGAATAAAATCATCAAAAGCGTTAACAAGGGAAGAGGATACAGAATGGGAAACAAGGAAATCAAAATACTCTGTTCAGTGTATAAATGAATGGACATCAAATAGGAAGAAAGAATGGAATAAGAATGTCAAAATAGTAAGAGATAAGTGACCAATCGGCAGAAGTATCGGACGACCGCGCAAAAGATGGAGTGACAACTTTAAATTTAAGGTTACACCAGAAAAATGGAAGAAATAGGTAAAGTATGAAGAAAATATTATAAATAAAGACTGGAGGATAGCAAAAATAATTGATGTCAGCCACATATTAAATGATCAGAATAAAACTAAATATCTAGATAAATTAAAACCGAAACAAGTCTTGGTTCATATGGAACTTTAGTAGTGGTAGTGATAACATGGTTGCTATCAGAAGTTATTGCCATCCTATTCCATTCTTTCCTAACCGGCAAATCTATCTCTCATGTAATTGTAAATGTAATTGTGCCATGCGTCATTATATCAATAGTAATGACCTCTGGTCCTACGATGTCATCCTGGTATTAATAATTTTACACGTGTAAGATAATTATAATTTTTAATAAGTAGATGAAAATGAGCAATAATAAATGAATTTATTTGCTTATCTTGAACTTTTTCCAGAATTAAAAAGGTATTTAATGTCAATAATGAATAAATTCTATATTTTTATTACTTTTCATTGAAGGACATTTCATTTATTATGGGTTCGAAGTCGAAATTAAGTTGGATTTTTGTACTTAGTTTAAATTTTAGGTAAATTTTTGAATTGTTGTAAATATTTAAATAGCTGAGGTTGACAGCGACCAGTATCTAGTAAAATCCAAGCTAAAAACCCAAAGCCGTTAAAAACGTTAAAGATAAGAGTATCAACTATGGGATCATGAAACTCGTCTCGAAAAACTACAAAAGACCTTCTCAAAAGACAGCATAAGGAAAAGATAGATAATATATGAATAGAGAACATTTAATCAAATTACCAGCAGAAATTCAGAAAGTTTAGGAAGAAACCAAAAGCGAAATGATTTTGATTTCCACAAAAGTAATGGCCGTTATACGTGCACCAAATGCCGATATTAGTATAGAGCCGATAGAACCCGTACAAAAATTCCAGTATCTTAGTTGCTGGATAACAAACGATCTTGACTACGAAGTTGAAATACGTGCTCGTATAGAGTATCTCTCTTCAATCCTGACCCCCTAGGGGAAGTGTAGTGGTCGAAGTGATGTCGTGTATTGTCCGTCTCCAGACATCTCTGTCTCTGGTCATTTCTTTTAATTCATGCATAGGTCTTTGGCATATTCCTGTAATTTGATCTATCCATCTTGTTGGGGATCTTCCTCGTGATCTTCGGCCTTCTACCTTTCCTTGTATTATGAGTCTTTCCATGTTTTCTGTGTTTGCTCTCATAACATGCTCAAAATATTTTAATTGTTGGAGATGGACTTTACTAGAGAGTCGTTGGCTAACTTTAAGCTCTCTTAAAATTGAATTATTTGTTCTACGGTCGGTCCAAGGAATTCGTAACATTCGTCTCCAACAGAACATTTCAGTGGCGTCTATCTTTCTTCTCTCCGATTGTCTCAGAGTCCAAGATTCACATCCGTAGGTCAGTATTGGGAATATTAAGCAGTTGATCAACCTCATCTTTATCGCTTCTTTATCGCTCTTGAAATTTGACATTCCTTCCATATTTTGGTCAATTTTGCTGTGGCAACTTTTGCTAGATCACATCTACGTTTAATCCCTTCTTGTAATGACGCTGTGTTTGTGATTAATGATCCCAGATATAAGTATGAGCTCACAACCATGAACCGGTCAATTGTGGTTATGTGTGATCTTTGTCTTTGATATGTTTAATTGCAGACCAAATATTTGACTTTCGTTTTCGATCAGTCGTATAAGTTCCATCAGCTCTGCTTGACTATTTGCAAGTAGGGCTGTGTCATCTGCGAAACGTAGGTTGTTTAGTTTATGACCATTTATTGAGATGCCCTTTTCCCATCCTTCAAGTGCTCTTCGCATAATATACTCCCCATATATGTTGAATAATTGTGGAGATAGTATACATCCTTGTCTGACACCCCGTTCTGGATAAAACTTGTTCGAAAGTGTGTCGAGTACTTTAACTCATCCAGTAGTGTGTTCATATAGTTCAGTTATAAGCGTAATTAGATGTTGTGGTACGCCTACTTGTTTTAGTATTCGCCATAAGTGTCTCCACATGACCCTGTCGAACGCTTTACGGTAATCTATAAAACATATGTATAGTGGGATGTTGAATTCCCTAGATTTCTCGATTATCTGTCTTATGTTCAGCAGGTGTTCTCGAGTGCCTCTACCTTTGTTGGTAATGTTTTCAGTCTCTCATTGATTATATGTAGCATTATCTTGCTGGCATGGGATATAAGAGAGATAGTTCTATAATTGTCGCATTAATGGAAGCTGCCTTTTTTATGTATGGTCGTTATTGTAGATTTTGTCCAGTCTTCAGGCGATTGTTTGGAATGCCATATTTGGTTACAGAGTAGATGAAGTAACTTTACGCCGGTTTCTTCTGTGGCTTTAAGCATTTCTGCTGTTATCATATCTGGACCTGGTGCTTTGTTATATTTGAGCTTGTTGATAGCCTGTCTTACTTAATTTTCGAGTATATCAGGTTCTTCTTCCACCTCATCAAAAATTTGGCTAACAAGCTCTTGGCGTGGATCTTGGCGTATAGAGTATGCTAGGCCCGCTTTTCAAAGAATGAAAAAATTACTAATCTACTCTAAAGGATACTAGATACCAATTTGTCAAACATTCATTCATTTATTGGGACGTGTAGAAGCGTTTGAGATGTGTGGGTTTTTCGTAGGATGCTGATCTCTTGGGCAGAGCACGTGACGAACAACGAGGTGCTGAGAAGAATGGGGACTGAGAGAGAATTCCCAAGTATTGTGAAAACCAGAAAAACGAGTTATCTAGGACATACTTGCCGAGGAGAAAAATAAAACTTCCTACGAATGATAATGGAAGGAAAATTGGAGGGAAGAACAGGTCCATTAAGAATAAAATGCTCCTGGATAAAAAATGTAAGAGACACCTCAAGATAAAGAGCAATTTGCTTTAGTTATAGCCAACCATCAGTAATGGAGAGGGCATCTTAAGAATATATCGAACAATATCTTTATAAAACTGGTCAATACTATTCAGATATAATGATAATTTATAGCAATAGACAAATAAATTTAATTCAAAAACTAAAAACATTAAAGTAATAATAAATTATATAAAAAAAGCCATGTTATAGATATATAATATAAAATAAATGAATACGTACCTATGTTAAAGAACAAAAACTTGATCACTACGAAAACGATAAATAATGAACATATTAAATCAATAAAAAATCCAAAAGCCCTAGCAGAACACATGGATGTAAAATTTGCCGAAGTGTATAAGTCCAAGTGTCTATTATATTCTTCTATTAAAATTTCTTGCGCTTTCGAAGCTCTCACAGTGGTGACTCCTTCTAAGGTCGCGTTGAGGTGGCCAATCATAGGACTTCGACCTAAAATATTTATTTATTGTAATTACTTGTGTAAAATAATATATATAATAACATTAATATTATGATCAATATTATACCAGGCTAACCCCCACCCCAACCTACACCCAAACCACGTTACCATAATCGCTCTGTGTTCTGTACTTTCTGAATGATCTTCGTAAGAACATGATCAAGCAAGGTTCATCAACTAGCCTCTAACGTCCACTGCTGAACATAGGCCTCTCGCATGCTTTTCCACTTAGTCCGATTCTGCGCCATCTGAATCCAATTTGTAGTCACTCTTTTTATGTCATCTGTCCATCTCGTTGGGGGTCGACCTCTATTTCTGAAAGCTTGTATTCGGGGTCTCCATTCCAAAATTATTTTTGTCCACCGGTTATTAACTGATCTCGCTACATGACCTGCCCAGTTCCACTTTAGTGTTGTTATCCTTTCAATAACGTCTGCTACTCCTGATCTTTTGCGTATAGTAGCATTGGGTATTCTATCACGTAGAGAAATCCCTAACATAATTCTCTCCATTGCTCTTTCCGCAACTTGTAGTTTACTCACTATTGTTCTTGTGAGCGTTAGGGTTTCTGCGCCGTAGGTCATCACTGGCAAAATACATTGATTAAATACTTTTCTTTTCAGACACATTGGAATCTTAGACCTAAAAATATCCTTCATCCTTACAAATGCAGCCCAAGCGAGGTTTATTCTTCTTTTCAGCTCGATTGTTTGGTTGTCTCGACTTATTCTGATCTCATGGCCTAAGTATTTATAGGAGTCAACTGGCTAAATATCTTTGTCGTCTACTGAGATGTTTTTGTTGTGGACTAAATGTGTCATAAATTGTGTTTTTGAAAAATTTATTTTAAGACCATTTTTTTTTGTGGCAGTATGGAGTTCTTGGAGCATTATCTGTGCCTGATCAAAGCTGTCTGCAATAAGAACGATATCATCTGCAAATTTAAGGTTATTTAAAAATTTTCCATCTACATTGATGCTCTTTTCGTTCCAATCTATTGTTTTACAAGCGTATTCTAGCAAAGTTGTAAATAATTTAGGAGACATGTTGTCTCCTTGCCGAACGCCTCTTTCAATACGAAAAGTCCCAGTATCTTCATTAAGTCTTACACAGAATGTAGCATGTTGATAGATGTATCTGATGAGAGATATGTATCGGTGCTCTATTCTACATTGTGTTAGAGCTTGGAGCATTTCACTTTGATTAACCGTATCAAATGCTTTTTCAAAGTCGACAAAGACAAGTATCAGGGGTCTATTATATTCAATGGTTTTTTCAATCAACGACTTAATGGTTTGCAAATGATCATTTGTTCCGTATCCAGCTCTAAATCCTGCTTGCTCGCAAGGTTGATAGAAGTCTAGTTTTGATGTCAACCTATTAGTTATTATCTTCATAAACAATTTATAAACGTGAGATAACAAGCTAATAGGTCTATAGTTCTGTATCTCTGTTATATCTCTCTTTTTGTGCATGACTACTATAACAGCTTTATTCCACTGAGATGATGTAACCTCGTTTGAAAGGCATAAGTTATATAATTGCGTCAATGCTTTCAATACTGTCTTTCCTCCTGCTTTAACTGCCTCAATAACGATTTGATCATCACCAGCTGCTTTATTGTTTTTCATTCTATTTAATGACTTTAAGACTTTTTCGATTGTTATTTTTGGAATATCCTCTGAACCCACATTTTGGACTTTTCTCAACTTGGTGCCGTCTTTCTTCCCTCTTTCTCTATATAATTCTGTGTAAAATTCTTCAACTACCTTAATTATCTTATCTTTATCTGTTACCACTTTTCCATTTCGATCTGCGAGCTTAACAATGTTCTTCTTACCTAGAGCTTGACATCTCTTCAGCAGCTTTAAACTTTTATTTTTCTCGACAACCGTTGCAATCTTTTTTGTGTTACATTGTCGTACGTCCTTTCTCACTGCTTTATTAATATCTTTATTAAGTAGTTGTAGTGCGCGTGCATTCGTATCGTTTTTGTTCTTAAGTTCTCTTCGTGCCTCCATAAGTCTTTTTGTTTCTTGACTGAGCTTTTCCTCCTTATCTCTCCTAGAATTTGTATTGCACTTTTTCTCTGCGTTTTTAATAGCTTTTATTAAGTTATCATTTAAGGTTTCGATATCCATAACGTCTATATTTGTTGTCTCTAGACATCTCAGAATTTCCTCTCCGAAGGACATGGTGTTTTCGATTGGATTCCATTCTATTGGGTGTGTTTTTGTTATCATTTTGTATCTTTGTTTTTGGAGATTTAGCACGATCTTCGCTCTTACTGTTCTATGATCACTTCCCACTGAACAGCTATTAAGAACTGTTACATCATGGATCATGTCTTTGTTGTTGGTTAAGACAAAATCAATTTTATTTTTGGTGACTCCATCTGGACTTGCCCAGGTCCATTTTCTTTGGGACTTTTTTTAAAAAAGCTATTCATTGCAAAGAGGCCATTTCGTACCAAGAAACCCAAAAACATTTCGCCTCTTTCATTTGTTTGTCCGAATCCATAGGGACCTATTGCTACTTCGGCCCCGTCTAGTTTACAAGCAAGGTTGGCCATAGTTAAATTCCAAAAATACTGTTATTGGTGGAAAATTCTTTTTAAGACTTTGGATGGTAAAATTTGAGTAGGTATAATAATAATGTATAATAATTTTTTTATTTAAAATTTCATTTTAAAATCTTTTGTAAAAGGTATATGTATAATAGAATACCCAAACGGGCTATATCACAATTATAGAAAATTTTCGGAATGTAAATTCCGTCATCAGTGTAACTAAGTATACATGTTTTGAGCCACTAAAATATATGGGTAAAAACCCGTTAAATGTTGTTGGCCCCGTAAATCTTTGTTACATTATATGTTCTTAAAAAAAGATGTTTAAGTTACCAGTGGAATTGGTAACATGGCGACGTATGACTCTACATAAGGTTACTTGGTCCTGAGACAAAGTGTCGATGAGGACCTGTTGATAGCAACTCAGTTGCTATCAATGGGTCAAACTTTTTTTAAAAAATTTATTTCAAATCCTTTATAAAAGGTGTATAATAAAATGCCCAAACAGGCTATCACAATTACATTACAAAACGTTTTCTTCTTCTTCTTCTTCTTCTTTTTTATAAGCAAAATGCTTGTTCAATGTCGATTAATGCCTCTATTGGAGGTTATCACTCCATCTTTTGCGTGGTCGCCCGATACTTCTTCTACCTCTTGGTGATTTGTCCCTCGCTATTCTGACTAATCGGGTCTCTTCCATTCTGTTTATGTGTTCGTTCCATTCCTTTTTTCTGTTCAGTGTCCACTCATTTATTTCTGGTATATTGCATTTTCTTCTGATCTCTTCACTCCTCATTCGATCCCTCAGTGTGTTTCCTGTAATTCTCCTCAGTAAACGCATCTACGCTGTTTCTAGTAGTTGCTGAGTTTTGGAGGTATCCGGTCTTGTCTCTGAAGTGTATGTCATTTGTGGTCTTATTGTTGCTTTGTAGATTCTTGATTTCACGTCGGTATTAATGTGGATATTGCGCCATATCGTGTTATTAAGACAACCTGCTATTTTATTAGCCTTTTGTACTTGATTTTTCACTTCCTTCGCCACATCTCCGTAGCTAGACAGTGTAATTCCTAGATAATTTGTCTCCATTACTTGCTCAATGCTGATACCGTCGATTTCCAGTTTACATCTAAATGGTTCTTTACTGATTACAATTGTTTTAGTTTTCTGTGTAGAGATCACCATATTAAAGTCCTTTGCCCTTGTGTTGAATCTATGGGTTAGTCTTTGTAGATCGTCTTCATTGGATGCAATTAGGGCCCCATCATCTGCATAGCAGAGTATTCTGATTTCTTTGTTCCCCATTTTGTATCCCCTTCCTTTATTAATAGTATTGATGATTTCATCCATGATTAGATTGAATAGCGTTGGACTAAGCGAGTCTCCTTGTCTTATTCCATTGCCGATATCTATTGGATCTGTAAGCTGGTAATCTATTCTGACTTCCATATTGTTGTTCTGGTATATGTTCTCTATTGTTTTTATAACATCTAGTGGAATTTCTCTATCGTAAAGAAGGTAAGTTACATCTTTAAGCTTTACTTTATCGAACGCTTTTTTCAGGTCTATTAGACTTATGAATTCTGGTCTGTTATACTCTAGTGCTTTCTCGGTAATCTGTTTTATGATGAATACTGCATCTGTGCACGATCTTCCTGTGCGAAAACCCTGCTGTTCATCCGCTATGGTAATTCTCTGATTTATTTGGCATTGCAATATTTTGGTTGTAAGCTTCAAAGTGGTGTTTAATAAATTGATACCTCTGTAGTTTTCAGGTTGTTTTTTATCTCCTTTTTTGTATATTAGGATAAGCTCGCTTTTTTTTCCACTCTTCAAGTATTTTATTATGTTTGATGATTTTGTTAATTAGTGCTGTTAGCTGTTCTGTTAATGCTTCTCCACCATATTTTAATAATTCATTTGGAATTCCATCTTTACCTGCAGCTTTTCTGTTCTTCAGTTTTTCTAAAGTTTGTTTTACTTCTTGTACGGTTATCTCGACTTCCTCGTTTGTAATGATTTCTGGTGTTTCTGGTTCTAACATCATTTGCTGTTCATCATTATAAAGCTTCTTTAGGTATTCAATCCATGTGTCGTTATCTATGTGTTTCGGTTCGATTAAGTCTTTCATCTCTGATCTTTGACCTCTTATGAAACGCCATATTTCCTTTTGTAGACCGTAAAAGTCGTGTTCCATTTCTTTTGAGGATTGTTAAATCCATCATCAGTGTAAACGAGATATACATGCTATGAGCCACCAAAATATATGGGTCAAAACCCTTTAAATGTTATAAATTTACAGTTGTTTTACATTATATATAGTTACAAATTAGGATGTTTAAGTTACCGTTGGAATTGGTAACATGACGACGTATGATCCTACATAGGTACAATGGTCCTGAGACAAAGTGTCTTCGAGGACC